GGCCCCATGGAGACCGGCACCACCATGGACTTCCAGGCGGCCGCGCTCTCTGCCCCCGGTGGCGGCAGCGATGAGAGCGCGGAGCCGCGGGCCATGGACACGGAGGACGGGCCGGACGCCCCTGGGCGCTGTGGGGGCGGTGGGCGGCCGGAGGAGCCCTCCCGTACCGCCCCGCAGCCCGACAGCGGCTCCGGGCCGGAGGGGCCGGGGCCCGCCGCAGCCCCGGAGCTCGCGGGAGGCGCGGGCGGACGGACCGAGCTGTGCCGGGGCTCGGGAAGGGCGATGGAAGCGGAGGCGGTGCCCGAGGTGCCGCAGGGCTCTGCCCGCTGGCAGCCCGGCGCCGGGAGCGCCCCTCGGGGCACGGGGCGCCCCCGGACCCCCAGCAGCGCCGAGCCCGCGGGCATGGAGCTGGATGAGAGCCCCGAGCCCCGCCCCGCACCGAGGGCCGAGTGGACCGAGGATGTGGAGGACGAGCCCTCGGAGATCCAAGGGCTGCTGGCTCAGCTTGAGACCCTCGACCCCAACCTCCGTGACTGCCCGTCCGTCCCAGAGCAGGGCTCGCCATCCGCCTCGGGCGCTGGTGCCCGGCGGGGCCGCGGGCAGTGCCCGGGCAGGTGCGGGCCGTGCCCGCTGCACGTGGCCACGGGCCGGGGCTTGGCGACGCGTCCCTGCTGCCCGCGGCACTCCGCCTGCGACCGGCCCTGCCACGGGCTGCTCTTCGCCGAGGCTGACCGGGAGGACTTGCTGAGCCTCCTGTGCTACGAGGGGGGGCTGCCCGAGGCTGGTGCCCCCTTGGCCCACTCCGATGTCCTGGCTGGGACCAACCTGGAGATGCTGCAAGCGCAGGAGGAACCAGCCACTGTGGAGAAGCCTGAAGGGCTGGGGAGGCCAGAGAGCTCAGAGGAGGAACCTTCTGGCAGCTGGTGTTACGGAGAGGGGCTTTGCGAGGACGATTCTGCCTGCGAGGGTGCTCGGGAAGGTTCCCCGGAGCCGGCGTGGGCAGCCTTGCCTTCCGCTCTGGTGCCCGGGATGGAGCAGCCACCTCAGGGTGCTGTGACCGTGAGTGCACTGTGCCTGCAGCCGGAGCCAGGACATTCCCCTTGGCTCTGATCCCTCCTGGGGCCTGGGATGGGGGCAAAGGAGAGCCGGGGATGACTTTGCTCAGGTCTTCCAGGGCCTTGCGCTGCAAGATTGCCCGGACAAGACCCTCGGTACTAGCTTTGGCCCTGGATGCATGCTTGTATGGCTGGCTGACTCACATGAGCCCTGGGGCAGAGGCTGGTGGGTCCCGACAGCCCCTCTGGTCCTGGGATCCTGTGCCATCTTCCCCTCCAGCCCCAGGGCCCTGTTCCTCCCTGTCCAACCCTGGGACCCTGTGCCATTCCCCCCATCCCCAGTGACACTGTGCCCTTGCTGTTCCACTGCTCCAGGGCCAGGCAGGCTGAATCCCTGAGGTCCCAGCCACAGCCTCACTTGCTCTCTCATTGCTTTGCAGAACAGGGAATCCCCATCATCCTGCCCAGCCTTCAAAGAGGGTGAGTTCTTGAGCAGCAAGAGCATCCAGGAGTCCTGCCCCACCTGCTCTGACCCTGAATGGGCATAGTCCAGGGTCCTCGATGGGGAGGGAACAGCAGCTCTGCACCCATCCAGAGTGGGTGCGCCAGGTCCACATGGCTTGTTTGAGCCTTTGCTGAGGAAATGGAGGTGTGTCAGGGATCAGGGAGGAGATATACTTGGGGAAAAGGGATGCCATGTGTTCCCAAGGGAAGGGGGAAGCATCCCTGGTCCCCGGTGATGCCAGGTGCCCATGTACCAAGCACTGAGCTGCTTCATTGTGTGTAGGAATGCAGATAATAAGGCAGCAGGAGTTGGTACCCCCAGTTTCAGAGGTGGGGGAGCAGCCTCTGCTCAGTCCCTCCCAACGCCTCAGTTCCAGGCCCTTGTGACCCAGAGGACTTGCTGGATGGTGTGATTTTTGGGGCCAAGTACCTGGGCTCCACGCAGCTGGCCTCAGAGAGGAATCCCCCGACCAGCGTCCGCATGGCACAGGCCCAGGAGGCCGTGGACAGGATCAAGGTGCAGGAGGGATGGTGGGGCATAGCTGCCCCGAGCCTACCCCCCTGTGGGTGTGGGGCGGCGCTCAGGATCTGCCTGAGGGCACTTGGCTGTGGGGCTGGGTCCCAGCAGGGTCCTGTGACCTCTCCATCGTTCTGCAGGCACCCGAGGGGGAGTCCCAGCCCATGACAGAGGTGGATCTGTTTGTCTCCACACAGAGGATCAAGGTGCTCACTGCTGACACTCAGGTGAGCAGGAGCAGCAGTAACCGTGTGGCTCTGTGGCTGCTTCAACATTCCTGTTTGGTCTCAGGATCTCAGCTTTGCTTCCACACCAGCAGGGTCTTGCCCAGTGATGGCCTATGGATGAGGACACATGTCTGGGAGGGGACATGTCACTTCATAGCCATCCTGTTCATGTCCTTGCCTCTCTGTGTGGCTGCACAAGGCTTCCCATGTGACCTTCACCCTTTGGAGCCTGGGGAACCCAGGCTTGAAATCTGGAGAGCTCTTTGCCTCAGGATTAGTTTCTGCATTATAGCAAGAGGGGAGAGCTGTCCCCTGGCAACACCCAGGGACACAAATGAGTCCTTGATGAAGGACCTGTTTGTACCTTTTGGCACAGACATGGTTTCTGCCCAGCGTGTGCTGGGCAGCTGTGCCACATCCCAGCACTGTAGCCAAACCCTTCTTGCTTGCAGTGCCAGCAGGCTTGTGGTGCCCATGTGGTCTGACAGCCCCGAGAGGGCTGAACTCTGCCTTTTCCCCCTGCCAGGAGGCCATGATGGACCACTCCCTCCAGACCATCTCCTACATTGCCGACATTGGCTCCCTCGTGGTGCTCATGGCGCGCCGGAAGCTGCTGCGGCGCTCGGAGGTGGCGGAGGAGAAGCGGCTCTACAAGATGATCTGCCACGTCTTCCACTCGCCTGATGTGAGGCAGCACACAGGTCCTTGGTGTGGGCGGGTGGCCCTGGGGACCCGAGTCCCATCCTGGAGTAATAATTGGGTGTTCTGGGCCGGGGCTGCAGCAGAGTCCCTTCCCTCCCCACTAGGGAGGGGCAGAAGCCCAGCCTGAGCATCTCTGTGCCACGCAGAGCCCCAGTGAGCAAAGTGGAGGGGGGGGTTGGCTCCACATGGGCCCCATTCTGGCAGGGAAGGAGCCAGGACACCCTGGAGCTCCGGAGGATGGTTCCTGTGCTGGGCACTGCAGGGTGCTGGGAGCTGTTGGCTCCAGCCCTGAGCCACAGGCAGGAACAGCCCTTGTGGTTCTCCAGGCCCAGGTCATCGCCCAGGCCATCGGGCAGGCGTTCGGCGTGGCCTACCAGCGCTTCCTGGAGGCCAACAGCATCGACCCCAGCGAGCTGAGCCCGCGCCAGTACGGCCGTGCCCTGGAGGACCAGGAGCAGTACAACACAGAGCTGACCCACTTCTCCAGGCAGGAGAACTGCAAGGATGTAAGAGCTGCTCCGAGGGGTGGGGACAATGTGGGGAACCCACTGGCACCTCTGTCATGCACTCTGTGGCTCCCTGTGCAGCTGAGCTGTTCCCTCCAAAACCAGACCCCATCCCAGGCACCTGTGGGCTGGGGCATGTGCTCCACGGCTCTGGTGGAAGTTGTGAGCATCACCCACCTGCTCTCCCCCCAGGTGTGCATCCAGAAGCAGAAGGGGGAGATCTTGGGCATCGCCATTGTGGAGTCGGGCTGGGGCTCCATCCTGCCCACCGTGGTCATCGCCAACCTGATGCACGGGGGCCCCGCGGAGCGGTCGGGCGAGCTGAGCATCGGGGACCGCCTCATGTCGGTCAACGGGACCAGCCTGGTGGGGCTGCCCCTGGGCACCTGCCAGAGCATCATCCGGGTGAGCCGGGGCAGGGTGACCTCCTGCCTCACCCCAAGGGGGAGATGGGAACTGGCCTGAGTGATCTGGGAGTGTCTGTGACACCAGGATTCCCTTGGGGCCCCCAGCTTTGGAGACAGGTGTGCAGAGGTCATACCTGTCCTGCAGGCTGTGGCAGTTCCTGCTCAGAGTGCTTGGAGGAAGGCAGGGACAAAGCTGGGGAGTGTATTTCATGTGGCTCCGCCTGAAAAGGAGGGTGGAGGAGGAGGCTGGCACCTGTCCTGAAGGGAACCTGTTGCATCATCTACCTCTCAGTGGGATGGGAAGGAGCTGGAAGCAAGGACAGCATAGCCTCAGGGTCAGGGATGTCTTGGGCTGGGTTTGTAAGTTCTTGTCCCTGGATTTCTATTTGCAGTATCCCTTTGTGTGCCTCAGTTTCCCCATTGTTTTCCCCAGAAAACAAGGCTAATCCTCAGCCCTCACATGAGCAATGCAGGTGTTGGACAGTGGGGTGCTGCTGCCTATTACCTGTTCCCAACAAACCTCTCCTGTAGGAAAGTAGGTTGGGTTAACATTTAGGCAACACAGTCAAATCCACACACAACACTCACCACAGCTGGCTCAGCAAGGGAGGCTAGAAAGGCTCCTTTGTGCAAGGTTTTATTTCAGTGAAGTATATCACATGTGGCTGAAAGGCACCTGGCAGGAGAGAGAGCAACCATGTGGCGCAGGCAGATTAAGAAGGGGAAGGGGTGGGGGGCAGAGATAAGGGCAGGGCAAAGGGGATTGGTCTCCAGGGGAGGGGGGCAGCCACCAGTGGTACCAAGCCAGTGAGGGGACAGGGAAAGGGGAAACCAGGGGAAGTTGCAAACCAGAAGTCCATGTGGGAGTTTGTCTTTTCGCCCAGGAGGACTGCATCGCCCCTCAACCAGTCTGAATAGCTCTCCAAAATCTGACCTTGCCCCATCCCACCTTCCAGGACCTGAAACACCAGACCGAGGTGACACTGAACATTGTGCACTGTCCCCCTGTCACCACGGCTGTCATCCGACGCCCCGACTCCAAGTACCAGCTGGGCTTCTGTGTTGAGAATGGTGTGGTGAGTGCCCATGGGATGGGAGCTGGGCCAGGGTCTGCTGAGGGACAGGCAGAGCCAGCTGTGTCCAGGGACCAGCACCCAGCTCCCACACTGCATGTGCCTGCCCAGCCGAGGGGCCACAGGGCTCTGCTGTGTGCAGCTAAAAAGCTCCTCACAGCCTTTCTGCAGCACTGGTGGTTGTATCCCTCTTCCTGGTGCTCTGTAGCTGTTTGCTTTCAGGGTGGTGGCTTCTTCCTGGCTTTTTGGGCATGACCTCAGTGACAGTTGTTCCTGTCCCCTGTGCCCGAGCTACTCCCTGCCCTGGGCTCACCTGTGGCTGTGTTGGGAAGGCAGAGAGGGGAATTCCTGGGCTCAGTGGGAGCTGGTGGGTGAGTGGCATGGCCACCTTGCACACCAGCTGGTGCTTCCCCTAGGACTGGAGTTGTGGGTCTCTCCTGTTGCTCAATCTCTGCAGCCCCAGCCTGAGGAGAGCAGATGGCTTCAGTGAGTCAGCCAAGGGACAAAATCCTGGGGGCTGCCCTGGCCCCAGCTCAGCACATCACTCTGGTGGCAGCAATGCACAGGAGCATCCCTGCCCTCACTGCCCAGGGGCTGGAGGAGGTGTGCCCCCCAGGCAGAGCTCTGGCCAAGAGCCTGCGGGGCTGTGAGGGTTTGGAGCAGTGGTGGCAGGGCTGGGCTGTGCACAGCCCTGCTCTCACAGCACTTCCCCTCCCAGATCTGCAGCCTGATGCGCGGGGGCATCGCGGAGCGGGGTGGCATCCGCGTGGGGCACCGCATCATCGAGATCAACGGGCAGAGCGTGGTGGCCACGCCACACGAGAAGATCATCCAGATCCTCACCGAGGCGGTCAGCGAGGTGAGCTGAGCCCCCACGGAGCCGCTGGGCTCAGAGCTGTGCACAGCACCCTCCAGCCCGGGCTGGGCTCTCTAATCTGTGCCTCCCTGCCTAGGTGCACATCAAGACCATGCCAGCCTCCACGTACCGTCTGCTGACAGGGCAGGAGCAGCCCCTCTTCCTCTGAGTCACCGTGCCTGGGGCAGGCAGGAGCGAGCCCGGGGCTGCAGGGGCAGGACTGGCTCTGCCTTCCGCCCCAGCCCTGCAGCAGAGCCCTCAGCAGGGCCTAAGACTGCACCTCTTTTGTTTTACTCAGGACACAATGGGACACTGGGGGCTGATACCCAGTGCGTGAGTAGCATCAAGGCCTGTGGTGCCACGCTTTGGGCACCTCTCCCACTCCAATTACCTCTCCCCACCTCACAGTGCCTGCACAGTGCCTGTCCTGCTGCTGCACAGGGTCCCTCACCTTGGCCTTGTGCTAGTGGGAGGAGAGAGGGCCCTATGTGAAAGTTCTCCCCATCTAGTCATTGACTGTTGTACTTTTACACTCACCAACAGTGCCTTTCTCAAGGTGGGGATGGTGCTGGAAGCACAGCTCAACTCCAGAGCTCAGCCAGCACAGCCCCAGAGTAGCACTGACCCCACACAGCCATGTGTGGGTGCACACTGGCACCCCTGAGGGATACCCAGCAACTTGGCCTTAAGGGCAGAAGCACTCTTGGCACCTCCTCTACTCCCATGGCTTGGCCAGAGGCCTGTTGGGGTGCAAACTCTCCGTTAGACACATTGCACCAAGCTGGGAACCGGCCTCAGCTTTTCCCTGGTGCTGCCTTGTATTGCTCTGCATGAACAGCCCAGCCCAGTGCCACAGCCCTTGGAGCAGCAGAAGGGAACATGGCATTGCCCAGCCCCACAGCCCAGGAGTTTGGGGCTGTGAGCCTTTTTGTGAACAGCTCTGGGCTCCCAGGGCCGCAGCAGTGCTGACCTGGCTGTGCCTGTGTGCTTGGTTGCTCTAAAAATAAAAATTTTGGGAAATATGGGAGGCTGCATTTGAGGAGCTGTAGGGGGACCGCAGCAGAGGAGGCTCAGCTCTGGGCAGCACATCCCAGGCCTGCAGTGGTGCCAGGCCCCAATGTCCCCCTGCGATGCCTCATTGTATACAGGGCCACTGGCCAGGGAGGTGCTTGGGTCCCAGCAGGGACCACCTTGCTGCACAGTGTCCCCTGTATGCTGCCACCCAGCACCCCCAGAAACAGCCCATCCTGATCCAAACATCCCTTTTATTCCAATAGCAGTGGCTGTGGCCAAAAGTGAAGGAGGCACGTGGTAGTGCAGGCACTTGGTGATGCAGGGTGTAGCAGGATTGGGACCAGCCCAGCCTGGCCACAGGGGCACCACCTGAGCTGTCAGCTGCATCCAGTTGTGCAGGGCTGTGGGAGAGCTGGCCTGGAGGGACAGGCCAGCTGTGCCACTACACATCTGTGGCTGGGCCCCACTCGTAGCCTTCATCCTGGTCCGAGTCATCCCTGGCCCGTGTGAACCTCTTCCTCACCGCCTCGTGCTCGTATTCCCTGGGAGACAGAAGGGTGGTGATGGCTCTGTGTGACAGGACTGTCCCCAGCCCTAGGCAGCTGCCATCCCCACCCTGGGGCACAGGGTACCTGATGCTGTCATAGCGCCTGCCCTGTGGTGGCCGTTCAGACACCTGGGGAAGAAGAGGTGGGAGGGGTCAGGGGCAGGGCAGGGGCTGTGCCTCAGCCTGGGGCATTTGCCCCTGAAGACCCAGAGCTGGGCATAGACATACAGCTGGACCCTGCAGCAGCCAGAGGTGACAACCTGCCTGTGCCATGAGAATGGGAGTTACGCTCCAGAGCTAGGCAATGTGCCACCCTCTTCTGCCCCACCAGGCTCTTGTACCAGTCTGGGACAACGCACCTGTTCACTGGGGGCCAGCTCTGTTGGCTCTGAGGAGTCCAGGCCCTGGCTTGGGGCCAGCTGTGCTGGCTCAGAGGAACGGGCCAGCCCAGGCTGGTCATAGGCATCCTCTGCCTCGCCGTCAGTGTAGGCGCCCACCTCCCCATCTGTGTCGTCGTAGTCGCTGTTGGCGCGGCTGTCACATGTCAGGTAGCCTGAGGCCACTGTGCTCGGTGGGTTCAGCAGGTCCAGACTGTCCTCGGCGGCTACATCTGCCTGAGGAGTGGGGATGACGGAGACCTCAGCCATGGGCGACCGTGTGAAGCCCCATCACCTGCCTGGCTGCAGCCCCAGGAGGCCAAGCCTTGCCACAGAGAGCCTATGCCCTGTACCTGCTCTGCTGTTGTCCACACTGGCTGGCTTTGCTGTGTCCTTACGATGTCCTGGATCTGCTCGTACCATGCATTGCCACTGCCACTGAGGCTGATGGTGGCTGTGAAGAGGTGGCTGCAATACTTCTTCATCTTGTTGGCCTGGGCATAGAGGCGCCGGGAGCTCTTCCTGGAGTCGGGCGCCAGCCACTGCCGCATGGCCTTGATGCCCTGGCGGCTCTCGGGCTCGCAGAACACCACCACGGGGTAGTACTGCACGTAGTTGAGGCGCTCTACAGCTGAGGGCGTGATGTCCAGCAAAGCGTGCTTGTTCTGGGGCAGGGCACAGCCATCAGCCCTGCTGGGAGCAGGGATGAGGGCCATGGGCTTTCCACAGGCCCCAGATGGCTCCAAGGACATGGGAAAGATCTCACCTTTTCTGCAATCTGCCGCACCGAGTCCAGCTTGATGACCTTGGATGATGCCCCATCTCGGGGCACACTTGCTGCAGGACACAGAGATGGGGCATGAGAGAGGCTGCACCTCTGACAGCCCCAGGCTGGGCATGGCCATGCCCAGCCCCAGGGCTGTGTTCCTCAGGGAGAGGAGAGGAAAGGGCGAATTAGCCCAGGAAGGTGTTGGGGTGTCATAGGGAGGGAACCAAGGTAAAGAACTCTCACAGGGTCTGGCTGCTGGATATCATTTTCTCCCCAGTGTGGGGGCACTTACGGGCAATTTCAAACAGCTCGGGCAGCTCCCTGCTCAGCTTCTGCACAGCGATGTCTGCGATGGGGCCCAGGATCACCACTGGCCGCTTGAAGCTGGCTGTGGGAGGACAGAGGTGCTCAGGGTGGCTGGGGGCAAGGGCAGAGCTCCCAGCACCCTGAGCACCCAGCCCCACTCCTCATGGTGCCCACAGGCCCTCAAGTTGCCCTGCTCCTCACAGGAGAGGAGGGCCATCAGCATCCATAGCAGGGCAGCCCCGGGAGCAATGTCCCCAAGGCAGGTCAGGCTGTCCTGGTGCCCACCTTCCTTGAGAACCACCCTTTCATAGGGTGGGTAGCGCCCCTGTTTTGTGAGGGCAGACAGGTCCTCCCGGCTCTTCCGCAGCATCTTCTTGGCTCCCCGCAAGCCCCGCAGCTTCCAAAATTCAGCCCTTGCCCCGGAGGGGTTGGCACCAGATGTGGCTTTTAGCACCGACTCCAGGCTGGCAATCTGCTCGGCCCTGGGAGAGGAGAGGGCTCAGGACCTGCAGCCTCTGGGTTTGAGGAGCAGGTCAGGAGGAGCTGGTATCCCTGCTCAGTGGCACAGGCAGGTGAGGCTGTGGGACTTGGGACAACTTGACTGTCAGCTGCCTCACCATGCTGAGAAGGGATTTCACCAGCTTCCGATTCCCACCACTGTCCCACCAGCCCTTGCCCTGCCTCTCACTGAGCCCACCATCCACATCCCCGGCTCTCTTGGGAACCTTCTCTGGCTCTGCTTGTCTAGGGGCTGTTCCTGGCTCCATCCTTACCTGCTCTGGTTGGGGATGATGCCCTTTTCCTGCTCCTGCAGGTCCCTGCCCATGCGCACAGCCAGCCAGCTCCCCAGCCTGCCCCGGTACATGGTGTCCAGCACGTGGAACACATCCCCACGGGCAAAGCTGAGCCCTGACGGCGTATCCTTCTCAAAGTCAAAGTGTGTCCGGATGTAGAACGAGTCACCCACATTGGACGACACCATCTTCCTGTAAACTGAAGCCCAGGGCAAGAGAGACCATCAGGGGAGGAGATGGCTGAGGAAGAAGATGATGGAGAGATTTGGGAAGGCACTAGGCTGGCTGGGAGGCTCCACAGTAGCCCTTGCTGCTAAGGAGGGTATGAGGGACACCTTTTCCTCCCATGGCACTCTCAGACATGCTGGGGACAGTAGGATCTGACTCGCCAGTACATACTGGCCTCTCCAGGCTGAGCCATAGTCCCAGAAAGCCCCTGTGCTCCAGGAACCTGAGGCACAAACAGGGCTGGGATGGTCTGGTTCCCTCCTATCAGCACTCAGGAGGAGGAGGAAGAGGGGAAGAAGGACCACCATGCAGGGACAGGAAGAACCATGGCAAGTCCAGCAGGTCTGATGCTTGCCCAGAAGAGACAGAGGATGGAGAGGCATGAGCCCAGGATGAGCCTGGTCACCACTCACTGTCCTGCTTGCTCTGGATCCACAGTGTGACCTCCTCGCCTGGGGGCAGGGCCATGAGATATTCCACAGCCTCCTCACGGGTCACGTTCTGGAAACTGGTGTCATTCACCTGCCACAGAAAAGCATTTGGACATGGTCCTGCCAGCAGGACAGAGGGCATGGGCACCAGCAGGGGACTCAGGGACAGCAGTGCCCAGGGCAGAGTGGGAGAGGGAAATGGTCCCTGTCAACCTGGAGGTGATACCCTGGGGGATATTGGACCTAAAAGAGCTGGGGCCAGTCTAGGTGCAGCAGCATATGGAGCATTTTCAGCCTTGGGTACCTGCAGGATCTGGTCACCTTCCCGAACACCCTGGCTGTCAGCTAGGCTCCCCTCCTGCACACTCGACACGAAGATGCCCACATCGTTCCCACCTGTCAGCCGCAGCCCCACACTCTTGGCCTTCACAAACTGCACGACCCTGGCGTTGGTGCTGTACCTGCCACAGGGAAGTACAGTCAGACCAGTGGTGACATGCAAGAACAGGACAGGGAGGTGCTGACTTTGTCACCCCAACCCTGTGACACAGCAGCTCCTCATGTCCCCCAGCCGTTCTCCCCTGCCTCTTGCAGACATACCCATCCTTGTGGGCAGCTCGGGCAGTGAGGCTGGTATGGGAGCTGTGCCCATCCTGCTCCATGGCTTCCAGAAGGTCTGCAGGAAGGAGAGCTGGTCTAGGAGCAGCAGTGGCTGTGCCGAGGCACAGAGAGCCCTGGCATGGCTCTGCCAGGGCTTTAGGCAGTGGAGATGCACGAGAGCCTGAAGCCCCCCCAGTGCCCGCTCACCTGGGCCCTGAGCATCAGCTACAGTCACCTTGGTCACAGGCTCCCTGTCTGATCGTCTCCTCTCCCTGGAACAAGGTCAAGCAGGATTTAGGCAGGGCATGTGGGCAGTGGAGACAGCAGAGCAAGCTAGGCATGGCAGTACCACCTCCAGGGATATTGGCTTAGGAATGGAGAACCAGAATCCCCGGACAGGTGGAGAACACAGAAGAATCTGCAAGGGGACAGAGGGGCTCATAGGGACAGTGTGGGTCTTACGGTGATTTTGTCCTGGCAGCAGCTGGAGATCGTGGGGAGGCCTCTGGAGATGGCGGATGGGACAGCTCAGAGTCGATGTCTGAGATATCTGCAGCCACAGGAAGGGAGATGCAGCAGTGGCCATGCAGCCCCTGTGCTGTGTAACTGACCCTGGCCCCGCCACTGTGTCCCCTCACCGTCCATCCGGGAGCTGTCGCTCTGGCTGTCAACGTCAGGGATGTTGACCAGGAACTGCCGGTGGTCACGGAGGATGAGCAGGGTCAGGATCCCCTCTGTCTGCTCAATGAGCTGCTGGGTTTCAGCCAAGGACATGTCCTGGCTGGCTACCCCATTGATCTGGAGGAGCATAGTGGGAGGCCTTAGGGCACCTGCTTCTGGGAAAGTCACCCCCAAGAGCACCCCACAGGGATAGGATACTCTGACTGCCATCTTCCTGGTCCCTTCCCAGCTCCTCCAGGCCAGCCCCAGCTCCTGCAGCTTCACCTATTCTGTGTCTCTGTTCCTGGCTGCTTCCCAGTGTGACCTCATTTTGTACAGAGGAAACATTAGCATGGTTTGTTAACACCCACTTCCACCTGCCTGGAGTTCTGCCCACAGGCAGGATTGCATGGACCCCTCAGACACCTGAACCTCAGCTTTTCTTTGCCCTGGGCCCAGCACTGTCCTTCCATGCCCTGGCCTGGTGCAGGGAGTCAGGCCCCAAGCAGGCCCTAGGGCTGAGATCTTCCTGAGTGGTAGCTGCTTTTCCCAACAGACTGTGGGATGTAATCCCTTCTGTTTCCTCCAGAGTCACTTTGGCACCAGATCCCAGCAGCCACAGGTCTGCCTGGACCAGGTGTGCAAACAAAGGGTCTCCCTCCCTTCTATTTCTTCCTCCCCAAATACTTTAAGCATTGTTTTACCTGACAAACACCTGTGACTGTCATCCAGTGGGGACACGGACACCCAGTGGGGGACCACCCAGTGGGGGGCCAGTGTGGTGGACACGACCCCACTGTGCCAGCAGGACATACCAGCAGCCCTGGCAGCAGGGAGCTGGTCCCTGGGACAGCCAGGGGGGCTGGGGCAGGGAGTGGGCACAGGCAGAACTGCCTGCAGCACGGCTGTGGCTGGGCCCTGGCAGTGACACCAGCCAGGGACGAGCCCTCCAAAGAGGGGCAAATGAGACTCCCAGTGAGTGCCCTGCACCCTGGGGCCCCCTTACCTTCAGGATGAGGTCTCCTTCCTGCAAGGAGTTGCCCTTGGCCGCCAGCCCACTCTCCACTATGTGCTTGATGAAAAGCTGACTCCCCAGCTTCAGGCCATACTCTGCACCAGAGAGAGCCACGATGGTAGCAGAGTCAGGCAGATGCAAGACCCCCTCCAGGTCCCCGCTTGGCACCATCCCCACAAGCCCCAGCTCCCCTTGGGGTACTGGCAAGCCACAAAGCTCTGTAGCCCCCAGCTGAGGGCAGGAAGTTTAGTGCACCCAGCATGGCATGCACTGTCCCCTTCCTGCAGCCAGGCCCACCCAACTATCATCTCCTCCCTGGGGGAAGGCACGGCCAGAAATCAGGCAACAAGACCCAGGGACAGCAGGAGCAGGAGGGCCTCACCCTCATTCTGCTTCTGCTTCACCAGGACCGATGTGATGGGCTTCATTGGCACATCCTGGCACGGCAGCCGCTTGAAGCCTGACACCAGGGCCAGCCCGTTGGTGTCCCCGTCCTGGCCAAAGGAACAATGTCGGCCCTGGCCTCTCCGGTCTGAGCTACTCTGCATCCAGCGGCTGCTGTCCTGGCTCCGCCTCCGGCTCCGTGACACCAGCTTGTGGTGGCGACGGTCATCGTGCTGGTGACCAGAGCTCCTGTCGCTGGATGAGTCCCCATCGTAGCCCTGGCTGTGATCCAGGTCATCCCGGGAGCGGTGCAGCCTGTACTCCTCATCTGAGTCGTAGTGCCGGGGCACAGCAGGGGACCCAGGGCTGCTCTTGCTCACAGGGAGGTGAATCTTCTTCGGTCTTTTCAGTGTCTGCAGGTGCAAAGTGAGCAGAAGAGGATGGTGGCTACAGCTGTGTCTGCCAGGAGATGTCCCTGCAGCAATTCCCAAGCCCCAAACCCTGGGCACATGCAGACAGGGGATCTGGGATGGGGGCAGACACCAGCGTGAGCATGACGCCAGCTCCACCCCACCACAGAGCACACTCACAATGTTGGCGATCTTGCCACAGGTTTTAAGTGCCTGGATGGCGACAGAGGATGGGACATTCTCCATGGAAATGCCATTCACCATCACAATGTGATCCTTCTTCCTGCGAGGGAAAATGTAGCTGAGACACTGTCCCAGGCACAGCTCCCAGCCCAGGGAGCTGGTGGGGTGGTGAGGTGCACCCCAAGCGATCCTATTCCAGCCAGGCAGGGCAACAGTGCTGCTGGCCCTGTCCCAGCAGGAGTGATTCTCCATCCTTCCCATCCATGCTGGCAGAGAGCACCCCTTCTGGCCCCATGTCCCTGTGCACTCACTGGAGCTGACCCATTGCTGGTCCCCCAGACACCACATCTGAAACAAACACCGCTGTGTCCCCGGTTGTCCTGTTGGGACGGTCACGGCCTCCAGAGACAGCAAATCCAAAGCCCCGGTGAGGGTCCTGGTGGGTGTGGGCAGAAGGGGGTCAGGCAGAGTTGACCCCACAGACCCCGTCCCCTCCCACAGTGGGGCCACCCCAGGAGACACTCACCTTGCTCAGTGTCACCGTGTGCTGCTCCCAGATCACCATCTCCTCCATGGTGGGCACCCACCAGCACAAGCTGGGGATAGTCACGGTGGCAGCCGGACGGCTGGGGGGCTCTGACCGGCTCCGGCTCCTCTTCGCAGTCGCTGGCCCCTTCCTCAATCCAACATCAGGCTGCAACAAAGAGCAGCAGCAAAACTGAGCCATAAGCACCAGGGACTGTGAGGCTGCAGGGGACAGAGCGCCACGGGCCGGGACACTGGGACTGGCAGCTGTGGCACACCCCAGTTAACCCTGCATTGCTCTGAACCCAGAGCAGCCTCTGTGCACCATGAAATCACCCCATGAGGATCCATCTCCATCCCCTCACACATGGGTCCATGGAAGGGGAGGTTTTACACAGGGCAAGAACAGGACTCATCTCCATGGCTGGAACCCGCTGTCCATGCCTTGTGGTCTGACTCCCCTCTGTCCTTCTGAAGCTGGCAGGCCTTGGGGTGCTCCTCTGGATGGTGTTTTAGTGCCTGTCCACCCACTCTGGGCTTTGGCAGCTCAGCCAGCTGGTTTGATAGCACCACTGCCCTAGTTTCACTATTTGGTTTCTCTGGTTTTTCCCAAATCCAATGTTTTCCACCCAAGGCAGACAAGCCTGACTGACAGAATAACATCCCTCTGAGGCTGAAACTTCTGGGATGGGCCCAGGGATCTCCACCAGCTCCTGGTTCCCTGTAGGTAATGTCAGCATGAACCCAGAAACACATGGGTTCCCAAGATGGTGGAAGACAGCAGGACCAGAGCCTGCCACCAGTTCCCGAGGGCTGGGATAGGCCACTTTGATCAGGGCTTCACAGAATCACAAAATCATCAAGGCAGGAAGAGGCCTTCAAGATCATCAAAACCAACTGTCACTCCAACACCACCATAATCACCCCTAAACCATGTTCCCAAGTGCCTCATCCAGATGCCTCTTGAATGCCTCCAGGGATGATGATGCCAGCACCTCTCTGGACAATTTATTCCTTTGCCTCACCACTCTTTCAGTGAAAAAAAATTATCTAGTATCTAATCTGAACCTCTGTTGGTACAATTTGAGGCCATTTCCTCAGGTCCTGACACTTGGCAGAAGAGGCTGATCCCCACCTCACTATAATCTCATTTTGGGAGAGCAATGAGGTCCCCTGAGCACCCTTCTCCAAACTGCACACCCTCAGTTCCCATGGCACCACACGGCCATGGTGTCTGAGGGCTCTGGAGTGGCTCTGTGGGGGCTGTGCTCATTCCCAACAGCCCCCGACACAGCTCAGCCACCCTCAGCCCTGCCAGGGATGCCCACACTGGTGCCACAGGGAGCTCAGATATCCACAGGCCTTTTGGGAATTGGCCACGGGGCAGCTTTGGTGGGACAGAGACACCTCATGGGCAATGCCGGGGTGATGCTACATCAGGGATCTGGCAGTGGGCAACAAGCCCTGGCACAAGGACATCCCATGGGCAGCCCCAGCTGGAGCAGTGCTGAGGCAAATGAGACCAGCCTGAGCCCCTGAAAAGAGACCCAGCTCACTGCAGCCCCAGGGAGGGCTGGGGGAGGCCTGGGGTAATCATTCACCCGACAGGCAGGCTGCAGCCCCGGGTGTGGAGGGCAGAGTCCCCTCTGCGTCACCAGCTGCCGAAACCAGCCTGAGTGCCTCCCTGCCACCCAGGGACACGTGGGACCAGGGGGTAGCTGGGGCTGGGCAGGACCCCAGTGTGGCAGCACCCACTATCCTGGCACTGGAAAAGTTCATAATGAACAGGAACTCCCAGAGTGGCATTGGGGTGGTTTCAGCTGTGTCACCAGTGTTGTTTGTGGCCCCTGGACACCTACAGGTGACACAGTGTGAGCTATAGGTCCAAGACAGACCAACCTGGAGCAGGCAGATCATCCCCCTCCTTAGGGTGGTGACATCTGCTGTGCCAGAGGCACCCCTGATGCCACCCAATACAGCCCCTCACTGTCCCCAGCTGGCTCCCACTACTGTCCCACCGCCGTGTTGCCAAAAACTGGCCACAAACTTGCGTTCCACTGCTGCCCGTTGCTCTCTCCAGGCAGTGGCTGGAGCAGCATGGGTATGGCAGCAGCTCCAGCGGCACAGGCAGTGTGCTTACGGTGCCACCAAGCCCTGTCCCTGTCCCCAGTCTCCCCTCAAGACCTGGCGCAGGGCCTGCACCAGCCAAAGGCCGAGGCTGGCAGCAGGAGGAGCCGGCTGAGCCGGTTTCCGACAGAAACCAGCCCGCACCTGGAATGGCCCTGCAGGGAGAGGCAGTATCTGGGCAGAGCTGACCACGGCCCAGCCCGACACACCCAGCACCGGACACCGGCAGCACTGGGAGCCCCACACCGCCCCACACATCTACCGTGCCAGCACTTCCCAGGGGTTTGAAGCCAAACAAAGCCAAGCTGTGCTGGGGCAGCTCAAGCCACGGCCAGGTCCCCAGTTCAGGGCTGTGCCTGGCCCCGGGTGACGCCACCAACAACGCCTGCCATGGGGACAGCAACGAGTTGGGGGATCCTTTATCGGAAAGTGACACACACAGTCCACCCCAGCCATGCACACAGCCAACCCCACCACCCATAATGCTTCCCAACCCCTCTCCCCTGATAAAGCTCCTCATCCTGAGGACCTCAGAGCCTTCCTGAGATCAGCGAGGTACCTGCTCCCAGCCAGTGCTGCAAAACCACTGGTCCCTTGTCTGGTCCTGGCACTGAGGTCCCGGACACCCCCAGAGGCTGCTCTATCCCAACCCCACCCAAAGAGCGATGGACTGCTCCCGACCCCTGCTCTGGGGAAAGGTCTGGGAAGGGCTGCCCCGGACCGAGTGTAAACCGGCAGCAGAGAGGCACGTCCTCCAGCCCTGGGGCATGGAGCTCCGATCCTCCGGGATATCTCCCTGCTATGGGGCAGAACTCCAGCAGGGTCTCTAGGTCCTGGATCCAGCCAGGGAGAGACAAAGCATGGCCAGTTCCCCAGGTGAAAGCACGGCTGAAAGCCAGAAAGTAGGGCTGACAGATCCCGGGGGACAGAATTAGGCACTCACCGAGCCTGGGATCCGACCAGGAAGGAGCTGAGCTCCCGGGCTGGTGGCAGTGGTGTCACTCCAGGGTGCCTTGCGTAACCCTTTGTGGCCCAGACTCTGCCTGCAGCGGGGAAGGAGCAGGAAGGGGGTTCCGGGGGCAGCTTCCCGGGCACAGCAGGTCTCCCGGAGGGCTGTCCCTGCTGTCCTCCACCATGACGGTGCCTCAGCCACCTGCACTCATCGCATGTCCCAGCGCTGCACCGGGACAGGCTCACAGGATGCTGGTGGTGGCGGACCCTGCAGACAGGCGTTCCTCTGCCCCAATACTTGTCCTGTCCAAGGAAGCGGTGGGACTCTGCCCCAGCCTCCCAAGCCCTCCCAGCGTTACCCATTGTCCCAAGAGGGCACAGACACGGGGGCCAGCCTTGGGATCCCTGTCCTGAGAGGTGTGGGGGAATCTGGTGATGTTTGTTGTCCCCTCTCCTCCCGTTCCCTTGCCCCTGTCCGCACCTGAGGACCATGCCCCCGTCATCCCTCGTCCCGCGGGGCCGCTTTCCGGCGGTGACAGCGACCAGGTCCACGCCGCGCTTCTCCGCCTCCCGCCGGGGCCGGTACCGCTCCCAGCCCAGCGCCGAAGCGGCGTGGGGGGACCAGTTTCTGCGGAAGCCCCCGGCCCGCAGCCGCCAGCCCGGAGCCGGAGCCATGCCGCCGCCTGCCCCTCCGCTCGCTCCTCGGCACCGGCTGCTCCCGCCCGAGTCCCGCGGGGAGGCTGCAGCGGCTCCCGCCGCTCTGCAGGACCAGCCACAGTCGGGAGCCCCTCTGGCGGGGGCCGGCGCCGCCGAGCAGCCTCATTAGTGCCGGTGGCCCCAGCGTTGCCTCCCAGCAGCAGCTACCCATCCGGGACACGCGTGGCCCCGGGGCTCCGAGAACCGGCGGGGCCGGCCCGGGCTGACCCGCGCCCCGGGGCTGGCTCGGGCCGGGCGGCGCCACTAGATGGTGCCGCGGGGCCGGGAGGAGCCGGGTCCCGCTTGGGCTGGGAATCGGCGGCGCTGAACGGCGCGGGGGCCGCGCAGGGAGGAGAGAGCGTGTCCGGGTCCCGGTACACGGCAGGCCCGGTCGAGCCCGGCGGGTTGTGCTGCTACAAGGAGGTCTCGGAGCCGACTGAAGTGGGGGCTAGGGGGGCGCAGGGAGGGTAGGCAGCGCCCGGCACCGGGAAGGCTCCTGGAGGGCCCCGGTCCGTCCGGGGCAGCGCGACGGGAACCGAGCGGCGACGGGACGGGAGGCGCGGGCTCTGCCGTGCAGGGCCAGCCACGCCCCCAACGAAGCCCCACCCCTCTGCCGGAGCCACGCCCCCGACGAAGCCCCACCCCTCTGCCGGAGCCACGCCCCCGCTATCATGGGCACCCACAGGTCACGCCCCCCGGTGCCATGGCGACCGGCAGACACCCCGCCCCCGAGAGCCCCGCCTCCACTGCCATAGCAACTGGCAGGCAGGCCCCGCCCCCCGCGGAGCCCTGCCCCGGTGCCATGGTGACCGTAGGCCCCGCCCCCCGACCCTGTGGTGTTTCCCCCTCCACCGGAGGTGCCGCGGCCGCCGCACCGTGAGGGATCGGCGGGAGTTGCTGCGGCCTCCCTTGTCCCTCCCCGCCCCCGTCGAATGCCACAGCCCGCCGGTTATCGCGACAGCCCTCCGCCGCATCGCAATTAACTCCGGCGGAAAAGCCCCGCTGTGCTTCCGGCACTGTTCGGGGCGTGTCTGGCCGCGGCGCCACCCGCGTTCTATGGTCCGCGGCGCTCCCAGGGTCCCCCGCGCCGCGGCCGGTACCCGGGAGGAGCGCGGCGGCGGGCGCTGGCCTGTCCGGGGCCTGTCTTGCCCCGGGGCTGCGCCTGCCCGCGGCCGCCATGGAACTGGAGGTGCCTGAGGAAGCGGAGGGCTCGGCCGCGGCGGGTGCCGGTGCCATCAGTCCGGAGGCCGGCGTGGGGGGACCGGACGCGTCAGGAGGTAACGCGCCGCGAGCACCGGGGGCCGCCCCTGTCTGTCCCCCACCCGGCCGCGCCCCGGCGTGTCCCCGTGTCCCGCCGGCTCGCAGTGGTTCGGCCCAGCCGTAACCCCGGCCGGGCCCCCCCGCGGGGCGCTCGAAGTGGTTCGGAGCCCCCCCCCCCCGGGGTGCCCCCCCCCCCCCCCGACACCGCGTGGTCCCGTCCAACTGCTGCTTCCCTTCTCCCCCGGGCCCGGGATGGTTCCGCCCCCGGCAGGGACACCGGGGGACACCGGGACGGGGCTGCCCCGGCTCTGTCCTCGGGAGTCTCGGAGCTGCGAGGGGCAGCGGAGACTCCCGGACCACCGTGCGAGGCACAGGCCGCCCACCTCCGGCACTACTCCCAGCCCCGGAACCGGCCCCGGCTGGGCCTTGGAAGGCCGTGGCGGGGCCGTCCCGTCCCCTCTCGGGGGTTGCTACCCGGAGATCACGGGGTCGGGGGGGCCAGGCAGACCCTGGCAGCGGGGCGGGGGGCTTTGTCGCCGGCCGGGGTCCCTCCTGCCGGAGGGGGCCCGTTTGTCAGGACCCAGAGCCAGCCGAGCCCAGCAGCGGCATTAGCAGAAGGTTTGGGGTTCCTAAGTGGCAGGATGGATCCGTGGGGCTGTGCCTGGCACCTACCCCCGCCTCCACCACTGCCTAATTATTTCTAGTTCATTAGCAGCCTCAGGATTGCTGGCTGAGCCGTGCTCGTGATGTTCAGCCCTGCTTCTGCTGCCGGGCTGACACGTTCCTGCGCAGGCCCGACTCAGAGCTCCGGGCACCTGCCGGAGTCCGGGGTGCTCAGAGGGTTTGGCTGTGCGATGACAGCGATCTCCGTGGCGTCAGGCCTTTAAATGAGCATCATTAGATCTTCTGAGAACCTGAGCTAATTACAGTGGAAGCCATGCTCCTGTCGCAGATGTCATCTGCCCTGCTGGGGCTGTGGGTGTAGTGTGTAACTTTGGGTAAGGTGCCAAGGTTTGGGCTGGGGGAAGCTGTCCCCACCCGTCCTGCTGTGGTTCCTCGGTGCTGCAAAGAAATGCAGGGGCTGGCAGCCTGCAGCCTGCCTTCTCAATGCTGCTTGCTGTGCTCCCACACACCCTTGGACCTCTTTTTGGGAGTGTTCTCCAGCATGGGCAGGGGTGGCAGGTGATGCCAAAGGAGTGAGAGAGAACCTCTTGCTGATCAGTCACAGAACAGTTTGGTCTGGAAGGGACCTTAAAGCCCATCTTGTTCCACCCTTCTGCATGGGGAGGGACACCAATGAACAATTAAAATATCATTTGTCCTTCTGATTTCTTTGTCATATATCTGGTTTTTGGGGAGGACAGGGGGTTGTTGCTCAGGACTAGGCAAAGTGTTTATGGAGACTGTTGCTCAGGAAAGGTTTAAGCAGGGAGAGTGTATTTATCTTCTTTAATGAGCAAGTAAATCTGAATTTATGAACCTGTAGGCTGTCTTGCCTCTTCGCTGATAGTAAAAAAGATGAAACAGAGCCAGTAATCTCACCAGTGCTTTGATTTCTCAAGTCAAGTTGCTTACTCCTCACTTGGGTAGCGTCCAAATTGTGTCACTTGGCCTCAGCTGCTCTTGCAGCTGGAGCTCCTGGGGGGCTGGGGACAACGTGCACAACAGCAAATGAGTTTTTTCTAGGGAAGAGCAAACCCTGGGGGATGGAGGTGGCCTTTGGTGTGCTGTGGGAAAGCACAGCTGCACCCACTCAGGGTAGGCTGTGCTGTGGGTCTGGGCTTGTCCTGTGCTCCATGGTCTGAACTGGAGGGCAGATCCCCATAACGCTGATGCAGTGCTGCTGTGTGGAGGTGTTGAAGTGCCCATGACCCACCTACACGGGTGCTTTGTGCTGCTCCCCCTGTGCTCACTGCTCTGCATGTGCTGTTGATGAAGGGTCACCAGCGTGGCTGAAACCTGCTGCCTGGTTCCTGGCTGGAGAGGAGGCATCTGGGTGCTGTGCTCTGCCTGAACAACATGGCAGGGTTAATCCAGACTGTGGGTCAGGCCAGCAAAGACCTCGCCCAAGCCCTCAGAAATCACAGAAAAATTACCAGTTAGTCTGGTACAGGAGTAAAACTGCCTGGAGAAGGGCTGGAAGTCGGGGAGGCCTTGGCAGTAGGTTGACTTAAGGTACAAAGTGTTCTGAAGGGAACTTTTGGAAATCTCATGCTTTGAGGGACAAAACCTCACTTATTGCCAGCAGTAGGGCTCATTCATGAACACATAGGCCCAATTTGTTAATTCCTGAGACCTTGGCTTCAAAGTTTTAAAAAGTCTTGTGACCAGCTAGTTGAAAGGGAGTTTCAAAATCTAATGGATGCAGATGCTTGCTGTGCCTTCTCCCTGAACCTGTACTCTCACACCCTGGGGAGGGACTCCAGGGAGTGTGAGGGGCTGCTCCAGGGTTCTGGTGAGCTGTGGGCAAGAGCTGAGGTGGTGTGGAGAGGTGTGGTGCTGTGGGGTGACAGGTGAGTACTGGGCTTGTTTAGGATGGGTGCCCTGATCCCAGGGATGGTTGGGTAAGCATCACTATTCCTCTTGCCAGGTGCAGTCTGGAGACACAGAGTCTGGAAACTTTTTTGTTCAAGGGTGGTTGGGTTATGGGAGAGCTGTTACTACAAAAGAACTGGCACTGTCCAAGTGTTGCACAGCAGAACTGGCCTTCACCATCTCCTTTCTAAAGTGGGAATTCTCAGTCTAATGGGAAAGTAGAGTTGACTTGAAGTTGGGTTTATTTCCATTGGTCAGGTCTCCTGTTACACAGGCTTCAGTCTGCCCATCACTTACGGTCCAGAGCTGGAGCAGAAGTCTCCAATGTGTCCTTCAAGTTGGATTCTAATGCTTTAGGGAACTGAAATGATTTAACAAGGATTCACACTTGTGTTGGACAACTGTCTTGCTGCACCTCTGGCTGAAGGAGCACAGTGAAGATCCCAGCCCCAGCCAGGGGAGAGCCAGGTGTGCTGTGTGCTGGTGGCACCTGTGTGGCTGTCTCCAAAAAGCACTGGAGAGCGTTGATTGCAACAGCCTGGGAACAGGATTGCAGCTCTTCCCTCTTAGCAGTGATAACTTTGAAGTGACTTTTGAAGGGTTGCTGGAAGCAATTTTTTCAGTGAGCAGATTAGAGATAAGAGAAGAATTCCACCCTGTGGGGCATAAGCAGTTCAATTCATACCAACTCGATGGAGAGGGGAAATTGAAAAGAGCTTATCAGCTTGAGGAAAAATCAAATGTAAACATCGTCCCCAGCATGATTATGGTTCACAGCTTAGTTGGATGTCACATGCCTCTGTGGCGTGAAATGGTGCTGGCGAGAATGATTACAGAGGGAGTCAGCCAGGCAGGAACAGGCAGAAAAACACCCTGTGCCTTGAACTCTTAAAGACCCTGCAGTCACTTCACAGTCAATAAGTCACAGCTCAGCTGCAGGGAAGGAGGAAGGCAATGAAAATAGAATTCAGGCTGCTCTGGCAAATTAATTGTTCTTTAAGATATGAATCGGCTGGAAGCACGTGGGGAAGCTGGGATGGTGGAGCCTGGGAGCTGGGAAGGGCAGTGTGCACAGCAGGCAGATGTGGGCACTGCCCTAAGGATGCTGAGCCTGCCTGTATCGGTGTCAGGGCGGCTGGAGAACGAGTTTCCAAGAACACACAGGACAGGGAATGATTAGTCTCATTTTCATTAACCAGCACTTGGCATTGACCTGTATATAACAGCACATTCCACAACTGCTGGGGCCAAGGCTGGCAGAGCTGCCACTGCCTCGTCCCACTTGGGAGGCACATGGGCCTCTCTGGAAGAGCTCCTCAGGGAATGACCTGAGTGGATTCCGTATGAACAGTATATAATTTTGGAACTATTACTGAAGTGATTCACTGACATGACCATTATGGGCTCTTGCCAGATGCACAATCTTAAGAAATACGGTCTTCCCATATAAGGTGGTTACAGACTGAAAGGCAGCAGCAGAAATTCCAGTACTCTCTTCCTTCATGGACACATCTTTCAGTTAGCACCAGTTGACTTTAGAAATAGTCCTGCCATGGCTGTGTGATACCCTGATAAAGACTTGAGAGCTCTTCTCATCACTTGCTGCTTCCGTTTTGTCAGTGTTTGATTATTCCCATGCATCCTTTTGGGATGCCCAGTTTATTCCCATGTACCATAATTAATCTCTAGAAGGCTGGCAGGTTCCTCACTCCCAACATGGATATGATACCTTGTGCTTGCTGGGACCTACTGGTATGAGATCTGTTCATCTGTGCATGTGGGATCTGCAGCTGTTATGTGGGGATCATTAACCTGTGACTCAAAAAGCAGAAATCACTGCACCTTTTGCACTGTACTGGGGAATGTCAGAAGCAGAGTGGGAGAGGGAAATATTTGCTAATCCCAGTGCAAGGAGGGTTGGCTTTGTTTAGGTGGAATTGAATGCTCAGTGCTCCTATCCACAGCATGGATGAAGAAACACTTTCAATTTTTTAATGTTCTAGTGCAATATTTTAAGGTAGCATTTTAATAGCATTTTTTACTGACTGAAGTGAACCCAACTCATGAAACTTTTCATTCACTAAAAGTATAGCTGATGCTTTTAAAAAGTAAGGGCTTAAGAACTTCCTCATGACAGCTAAACTTCTTGAAACCATATAAAAATCTGCTTATACCATAATTCAGCCTTGCAGCACTGCTAGCACGAGATGCTCCTTCTTGCATCCTGGCTGCAGGAAAGTGGGAGCCAAAGCAGGTCCTGCCCTCCCCAGATGGTCTGATCCCATGGATGCACTCTCACAGATCTTCCCTGGATCCCAAGGAAGACAGTGGGAGCAGCAGGTATTGGAGTAGGCTGCCAGTTTTGGGACGCGCTCTCTAGTTTAACACAGAGGCCTTGGCACCTCCTTTTCTCCAAGATGCTTATGTTGAGAGAGAAGTGACTCAGAATGTTTGAATCATAGAATGAAAGCATAGTTTGGGT